GCGTTCACCAACCTGTTTCTCAACATCCCCCCTTTCCCCCCCCCCCCCCTTCAGAACAGAGCATGTCCCAGCATTCATTTTCTTATTTTACCTTGCTCCAGTAGCCAGGTACAGCTCTTTTATTTTTCACTGTGACATCATTACCAGCTTTGTATATTTCTTGCATGTGCTAGGACCTAATTTCCTATTGACGCAGGCATGCCTCCAAAACTACATCTCCCAACAGCCTGTTCGCTACATTTAGACCCTGAAGTTCATAAAGTGGGTAGCAGACACTGTTTAAAATTGTGTCCTCCCGCCACTGGAACATGGTGGTCACCCCGACCGTGCAGGAATGGGTTGCTGAGTTGTGTTTGATTATGCGCTATGAGGAACTGACGGCTTCATTGCATGAGCGTCAGGCGCAATGTGCAGTGCTGTGGACCCCTTGGATTCTCTACATGGGTACGGCGGATTTCCTGGCCTTATAAAGGGCCCGGGGTTCTCCTGTTGGACGAGCACTGGGATACTGTCTCTACTGCACCTACCTAATACCACTGCGGTCCTAACTGAAATGCTGGATCCGATGGAGCTTCCCCTCTCCCCTGTGTTTTTCCTGTGATGTCCATTCCTGTATGTCCCTTTCTCCCCAGTTGTGAGTCCCATGTGTGCCTAACCCCCGTTTGTCACTGTATGTTGTCATATGCTGTCTGGTTCGTTGAGAAGCAACACGGCCGTATCCTCTGCACGCATGCACTCCGTGAGAGGGGTGCAGTACACTAAATAAGGCGCATGCCTTTTGATCTGTGCGACAGCCCCACTACGTTATCTGCAACCACAGAGTATGAGTTGAGAGAGCACATGCATATATGCCTGCTGCGCAGGTTCTAAAGAAATGGAATGTGAATACATGCAGTGGGACTAGGTGGATGACCGGACGTGTTTGTATTATGTTCCAGTGTTCTTGTATTTTTGTACTTTGTCTATTGCAAAATTGAAATAAAATCTAATTATTTAAAAAAAATAAAATTGTGTCCTGTCTTTGCATAATTGTTGGCAACTGTAAAAAATGTATGTATCCATCAGAAGCAGGTACAATAATTTGTTGCATGGAGGCACCATGGTGGGTGGCACTAAGGCTAGAAGGTACATATTGCAGCCACTCTGCCCTCAGTGCATGTTCAGCCCCTGGGATGCACAAAATCATTAGTTTCCTGATGTTCTTGACTGCGCATGTCCTTGGTTGCTTTGACACTGTTGGCAGCACAGCGGCCTTGATTGTTAGGATGCAGTCAGCAACACAGCACAATAACAACCAATGATGCTGTGCAGCCAAAAGTACCATAGTAACCAAGGATGCTGTGCAGCCAAAAGCACCATAGTAACCAAGGATGCTGTGCAGCCAAAAGCACCATACTAACCAAGGATGCTGTGCTGATGACAGCATCCAAGCAAATAAGACAGAGCTCTGTTACTTCAAAATGACACTGGTCTTATTTAACTCCTTATCTCTTCTTATCTCCGGTCTCACAATATTTGGAAATTAATTTGTCACAGCCATATTAGTGAAGTTTTTACAAACAAGAACTACTTGAATTTGTCACGTGTCAGAATAAGCAAGGAAACTGTTGCAAGGCTTACATGGATTTGGCACTACACTTACCATAACAACAATAAATCCAGAAGTCTGTCACAAATCTATTGAATTGCCCCCAGTGTGTGGACAGGCTCTTGGGAGTAAAGGCAGCGGCATTGTTATGCTGGAAAATAAATCAATGTAGAGGCACACAGAAAGCTGGCGGATTGGTGGAGTTCTGTAGTCCAGCTGACAAGACTCGTTGGGATTTCAGTGCAGCAAAGGCACCATGTTGTCAGCCCAAACAGGAAGTTAGAATTACACTGGAGCCCCTGCGGAAGAGAAGCTACACTTTTATATGCAACTTCAAAAGCCCACAAATATCAGCAATGCGACCAAGACCCAAACAGAGCTGCCTAGCTGGCTTTTATCCTGACAGGCCAGTAACTATGACAGGTCTTATCCAATGAATCTCCAGAGAAGAGAAATATTGAGCTTGGTGTTTTCTTTGACAAGTACATATCTTCCAGGTACACTTGTGTCTACTACAATGACTGCTTGTTCTCTGTTTACAGCTCAAGCTTTACCATTATTATTACTTTATATTATTTTTTCTATCTAGAAGCTAAAGCAAAAAGTGATGCGTGTTTCTCTCTTTCACAGGTCACCGTCCTGGTTCTCTTTGCTCTGGCATTCTTGGCTTGCATCGTGTTCTTGGTAGTCTACAAGGTGTACAAGTACGACCATGCCTGTCCTGAAGGATTTGTGCTGAAGGTAAGAGAGATCCCAACAGCCCCATCGTATGATGATATCAGGAAGTATTTTTCCATGGGAATCTTTGTATATGTAATGCCAAAACCCTTTTTTTATTTAATAGGTATTTAAGTTTTAGGAATGTTACAGACAAGAAGTTAAAAAAAAGGTTACAAATCAAGTGATCAGGTAACATAGTACAGTGGTACGTCGGTTCACGAACTTAATTTGTTCCACGATTCTGGTCGCGAACCGAATCAAACTGTGATCAGAACGCAATCTCGACTAGAGGAAGCCACGACCACCTGTCAGAGCGGGGAAGATGGCTGCGGTTGTGTTCGTCACCCGATGAGGAGTTCGTGAACGGAACCAAAATTTTGCCGAATTTCCTGTTCGCGAAAACAAATTGTTTGCAAACAGAAGCGTTCGTGAGCCGAGGTACCACTGTAATGTATAAAATGACAGAACAAGCAGGACGCGTAATAAGGCGCACTGTGAAATCATGGTAAGAAAAACTCTACAGCGCCCCTACGCCAAAAGAAAACGGGAAGAGAGGAAAGGAAGGAATATGGGAGAAAGATAGAGAAAACGCTATTGAAGGGGAAGGAAAATTGGGTATATAGGGGTCCAGTGTCATCGGTCCAGGAGGAAACTTTCTTAAAGGAGGATGTCGTCAGCAGTTAGAGCTCAGAGAGATGAGTGTCAAAAGAGTGAGACAGCCATGGTTCCCAAACGCGTTCAAAACGGGGAACCTTATCTGCAAAGCGTGCCGCTTTTTTTTTTTTTGCTTTGGATGGAGTAGGAAGTGGTAAAACTAGGGATGCACCGATAGCGAAGTATCAATATTGGTGACGATACCGAGTATTTGGGCTCGTACTCGCCCAAATGCTCCAATACTTACCTCCGATACTGGAACTTCCGGTCAGAGGGAGATCTCCCTTTGATCGGCAGTGCCGAGGGAGCATGGAGCCGGCTTCCTTTCCAATCAGGAAGCCGGGAGGTGTGTTATGACCCACCTCTCGGCTTCCTGATTGGCTAGGAAACCGGCCTCACGTGTTGCTAAGCAGCCTGGCTTCCTTACCAATTAGGAAGCTGGTCGGCACATAATGACCTGCCTCAAGGCTTCCTGATTTGTCAGAAAGCCAGGCTGCATAGGAACAAGTGAAGCCGGCTTCCTAGGCAATCGGGAAACCAGGAGATGGATCATAACGTGCTGCCCGGCTTCCTGATTGGCTAGGAAGCCAGCAGTTGCAATGTTTTACTTGTTCCCATGCAAAAAAAAGCTAAATGCACATTTTTTCTTTTATGAATATATGTGCATTTGTGTAAGTTATTTTATGTGACCCTAATCAGTGCAGCTACCCCTTCATTTCCTCCCTGTTCTCATATCCAAACACTGGGGCTGGAAAAAAATTGTGTTTCAGCATCTGTATCTATGTATTGATTACTCAGTATCCATAACAATAATCAGTGAGTTTCTGATCACTGGGATAGAGGATGACGTTATGATGGTCATAGACGTCGGAGCTTTGTTAGGAAATGCTCTCCTATGGTATCAGAGCTGGTGAGCCCAGCACTGCCTTGACCCTCATACAGACTTTTCCATGTACTCATTACTTGCCCATTTTATTGGCTCCGGTTTTAATACACATCACACAACACCAGTGTAACAAGAATGTTCAGATATTTGGAAGTCTTGGGGGGGATTTATCAAAACTGGAGCAGACAGAATCTGGATGGCAACCAATCGGCTTCTCTCTTCAGTTTGTTCAGTTAAAGGAGAACTATGAGATGAGTGATTTCCACTCACCTCATAGTTCTAGCCGACCTGTGACAATGAGACTGTCACAGGTCGGCTCAATAGATCGGGAGGTGAGCGAACACATACCGGGTTCGCTCACCTCTCGATCCTGTCAAGGCTCTCTGCCGTGACAGAGGGAGGGGCTGGATTCCCCTCTCCGATCTGCCAGCGCTGACTGGCGGAACGGACGGGGGAGGGTACAGCTGGCTCTGCCTCTAGATAGGCAGAGCCAGCTGTCACTCACGCAGCTAGGCGGATCCCGACATCCATGTCGGGATCCGCTCCGGCGTCTCAGTATACCGCGAGCTGTAGCTCGTGGTATACTGAGCTTAGGGTAACGGGAGGACGCTAGTTTGTGTCCTCCCGTTACCCTAAGGAGAACTATGGGG